GGGAGCCCGATGCGGGACTCGATCCCGGGACTCCAGGATCATGACCTGAGCCGAAGGCAGTCGCTTAACCAACTGAGCCACCCAGGCGCCCCGACAATCCAATATTTTAACCAAACAGAAGACACATCATAGAACCATATTCCTTTGTGGTTGGGTATATTTGACATTTTCCCTTGTCCTTCTTAATTTGCCTGTTAATATCTATATTAACACACCATGATTCTGAATAAAATTTTAATTAATTTATGCATTAAGTAGTGGACTAAAACTAGTGTCATGTACCCATCCATTATCACTCACAAAGTCTGGAAAAGTTGCAGTTGTGTACTGAATGATTTCTTCTTTGTTTCATTTCTTCTTTCTTCAAACTCAAATGCAACTATGAAAGCATGCAGTCAGATACTAAAGGTGGCCTTAAGCCAAAACCTTGCCCTGGCTTTGACAGGAGCAATGGCTAGAACAGGAAGGACACTAGCAAATCTAGATGTAGATAGTATTTGTTTTGGAGGCTTTTAAAGATACAATTCATATAACATTAAACTCACCAGTTTAAAGCATACATTTGCAGTGATTTTTATGTTGTGGAACCATCAAAACTACCTAATTCCAAAACTTACATCACCCCAGAAAGAAATCCCATACCCGTGAGCGTCTGCCTTTGGCTCAGGTCACGATCCCAGGGTCCCAGCCCCCACATCGGGCTCCCTGCTCAGTGGGGAGCCTCCTTCTCCCTCTCCCCTTGCCCCCTCCACCCCGCTCATACTCACTCTTGTGCTCTCTCTGCATTCTCTTTCTCAAATAAATAAATAAATAATAAATCAATAATAAATCAATAAATCAGACATTATGGGCCTTCTGTCTAGCTTCTTTGATTCAGCCTGTTTTTTAGTTTCAGCCCTGCTATAGCTATAGCATATAGCAGTACTTTGTTCCTTTTTGTGGCTGAATATGCCACATTTTGTTTATCTATCCAACAGCTGATGGACATTTGGGTTTTCATTTTCTGGCTATTTCAAATACTGACAATACTTCTGAATACCAACTGCTGTGGAACTGTAAGGCTGTCTAACTACAATGAGGATCTCAGTTCAGTGCATGACACACATTAATCAACGAACAATCCTGCTATGCTGTATATACGTGGTTTAAAAACATGCTTTTCCAAATAAGCATGAGTCAAGAAAATACCAAGCAATAAGAACATAAAAGGGTTACAGACACTTTTTAAAAATTTACTTTTATCACTTTTATGGATATATAACCCCTTAGATATTTATAATATTTAATGCTGAAGAGAAGCTGTGAGAACAAGATGAAAATCCTTACCTCTTCTCAAGTCTCTCTTTAAGTTGACTTTCTCTTATTCCCTGAGGGTGAAGGCAGTTTAGCAACTCATCCAGTTCCTTCTGACTATCACATAAAAACCTGCAAGGAGAAACACAGAATCAGCAACTCTGAAAACTTATCAAATACTAAGAAAGGGATCTAGGATTGTTGGTGGGAGTTGGGAAAAGAGAATTCCAAACTTGCTCACAAGTAGAACAAACAATTTACTATTTCCATGAGGCCTACTGTTAACTTTATCCTAGAATACCGGAGCCAAGCCAATGTTTCCTACTTTTTAAAATACGAGACAAATTTTATTAAGTTAATTGACACACTTGTCCATATACCTTAAAACAGTAAACTTGCCTCCAAAAATAAAAAATGAAAGGTCATTAAACCAAAAGCAATCATAGGAAAAACAGTTAATGCAATCACAAAATAAAAGGGACCCTCTCAAAACCTAGTTCCCCACTTAAAAGAGAACTGACAGAAAAGCAGATCAATGGCTATGTATACAATTTATATTCTTTAATTAATAAAGATGAAAATCCTAAATCTATTCCCAGATTGAAAAGCACTTCCAACTCAATGTAAGATCTATCCCAGAACATATACAAAGTTATATTATAACAGGGAAATAAAATTCCAAAGCTTGGAACAAATATATTCTTACCAAACAAAATCAAGCCTGCTTTTAAAGCAATGAGTTACATATCCAAGAAATCAAAGTCATACAAAATGATCTTAACAGATAATCACTGGTATCACTATATTAAATATTTTCTTAACATGAAAAAGGAAAAAGAAAGAGCAACCCGATAAATGCTCACATTACCATAGATTCTGGCCTTGTTTGGGTATGGTGGTCTCCACAGCAACTTCTGTTGCTGGTCCAGGTTGTGTGTTCATGCTTGCATTTTTGCCTAGGTTTGCTTTCTTACCTAAAAAAAATTTAAACATTAGGTTAATACAGTAAATACCCAATTCCTCGTTTCAAACCTAAATAGGACAGTGCCAAATCCAACAACTAATAACACAGATGCTGCCTATTAAATACATCTAGTGTACAACAGGTGTTAATTTCTCTTAAATAGCTTACACAGAGCACATTATTTGAGATACTCTCTATACAGCTGAACAGTTGCACAGTTCAAAGTTTAGAGTATCACAACTTAGAACGGAGCAGGATGACTGAGTAACTATATCAAAGCAAATAATCCATTTACTCCTTGTACGTGAGGCTTAGCACAAAGGCATTTATTTGTGGATTTTTTTTTTTTTTTTAAGATTTTATTTATTTGACAGAGAGAGAGACAGCGAGAGAGGGAACACAAGCAGGGGGAGTGGGAGAGGGAGAAGCAGGCTTCCCACGGAGCAGGGAGCCCGATGCGGGGCTCGATCCCAGTACCCTGGGATCATGACCTGAGCCAAAGGCAGACGCTTAACGACTGAGCCACCCAGGCGCCCCTATTTGTGGATGTATTTAAGTAGGGACAAGTGAAACACAGAAACTAGTATAAACTTACCGCTGGAGGATTCAAAATGTCAAACACGATGAACTTTTTTCTAAGCCAGCTCCTATATACTACTAGGACATAATACAGATAGATCTTAAGACAATCTGTGAGGCCTCACCTAACACTATAATTGGTTCTGTCCCCTGCTCCCATTCTCTCCCCTTTAACCTGTCGCACTTGCCCTGCACTACAAACACATCACCCTATTAGTCTTCTGAGTCAGGTGATTTTAAAGAGACCCTGCCATGCTGGAATGAGAGAACATGAAGTAACAATACCCACCAGGATGCACTAGAAGTGAAGGGATGGAATGCCCATTTTCTCTTGGGAGCTAGAACTATGGAGACCTAATTTCTAAGAACACCCATTAAGTTTCTGAAAAACATCATAAAATCAGTCTCTCCTCCTGCTGGAAACTCTCCCCCAGGTCTAAAGATCCTGACCGTACATTTACTGCTCTCAAACCTAACTGCCCTCATGTGGGTATTTACAAAGTCTACCAAAACTAGATTTTTCTACTAAAGTGCTACAATCTAACACTTAATATTATTAACATAGTTTGAAAAGGCCTTCGGGCGCCTGGGTGGCTTAGTCGTTGGGCATCGCCTGCTTCTCCCTCTCCCACTCCCCCTGCTTGTGTTCCCTCTCTTGCTGTGTCTCTCTCTGCCAAATAAATAAGTAAAATCTTTAAAAAAAAAAAAAAAAGAAAAGGCTTTAATTGTGAAACTTCGGGCTACATATTAATTTCCTCATTTAACAATTTTGTGAGTTTTAAGTATGGGTTAGGAGTTTCTTTAAAATGAAGGAAAACTGGGGCGCCTGGGTGGCTCAGTCGTTAAGCGTCTGCCTTTGGCTCAGGTCATGATCCCAGGGTCCTGGGAATGAGCCCCGCATCGGGCTCCCTGCTCTGCAGGAAGCCTGCTTCTCCCTCTCCCATTCCCCCTGCTTGTGTTCCCTCTCTCACTGTGTCTCTCTCTCTGTCAAATAAATAAATAAAATCTTAAAAAAAAGAAGGAAAACTGCTTTTAAAAAATTTCTTAAAGAAACATAATGATCTAATATTTGAGAAGCAATTTTCATTAGGTCACAGAAAGCAGAGCTATGGGGCACTGGGGTGGCTCAGTCAGTTAAGCGTCTGCCTTCAGCTCAGGTCATGATCCCAGGGTCCTGGGACTGAGCCCTGCATCGGGCTCCCTGCTCAGCGGGAAGCCTGCTTCTCCCTCTCCCATTCCCCCTGCTTGTGTTCCCTCTCACTGTGTCTGTCAAATAAATAAATAAAATCTTAAAAAAAAAAAAAAGTACTGCTAGAAGCTTGCAGATCATTTAACCCAGTGGTTCTCCACAGGGAGCCAGGCTGCCTCCCAGGGGACATGTGGCAATGTCCGGAGACACATTTGGTTATCACTATTAGCATCTAGTCCGTTGAGGCCAGGGATGCTGCTAAATATCCAACAATGCACAGGACAATCCCCAACTATAAAGAATTATCTGGAGGTGCCTGGGTGGCTTAGTCACTTAAGCGTCCAACTCTTGATTTTGGCTCAAGTCATGATCCAAGAATCGTGGGATTGAGCCCTGCGTCGCGTTCCGCGCTGGGTGTGGAGCCTGCTTGTGATTCTCTCTCCCCCTCTACCCTTCCCCAATCCTTAAAAAAAAAAGGACTGCAGACCTACATAGTTGGAAACGCCTCATAGAGTATATGTGTGGTTTCCTTTATTCACAGAACTATGTGTTAGATCTGTGGGAAAGAACTGTAAGACATTTAACTGCTAAAACTCTGTGAAAGACCTAATAGTCAAATTTTTTTTAAATCTTAGGCACTGGCCAACAATCTGTACAGTTCTAGGGTGTGATGGTTTAGGGGTGAATAGGATTTGAACTCATTCACATTTAGAGGATGTTTGAAATTGAGAACCAGGCAGATCCAGGCTCAGACCGAAACGGGGCCCTGAAGTAAAGGCATTGGATCCCAAAGATTATAGGTGAGGAGTTTTTGAAGTATGTCCATATTCAAGTGGAGGTCGAAGAAGCCCAACCGAAAGAACTCTGGACTGACAGTGACAACTGTGGATTGAACAAGTTCTTTTTAAAAGGGCTATTTTGAAGATTATGATTCTGACTTTGGAGGAACTACGGTGATTAGCAGCGGAAGGAATCACATGTGAAATTCCTTAAATAAAAATTTATTGACTTAAAAAAAAAAAAAATGATCTGACCCAAAATGTCAATAATGCTGAGGTTGAGGAAACCTGACCTAACCTGACCATTTGTTTTTTTTTTAATTAAAAATTTTTTTCATTTCTTTCTTGAAATATTACACACACAAATGTTGCAAATGTTACACATAATGTTCAATGTATATATATCCCTCAAGAAAATATATATATACACATTTATAAAAGTATAGTTGTATATTTATTTTACAAATCAAACACACCCGTGTAACCAGAACCCAGGCCAAGAAAAAGAACATCAGAGCCCCTTTCTGACCCTTTCTCGGTCATTTATTTTTAGCTAGTTATTTGCTGTATTTCCCCCTCACTAGAATTTTAGTTAAATGACATTCAGGACCTTATCTGTCTTGTTTTCTATCTTGTATCACAAAACATGAAAAACTGGTTAGCACACATGAGATGCTCCGTACATACTGAATAAATAAATTCTGAAAGTGGAGGAAAAAGACGTGTAACTGTCTTCTTAGCCCTTTACCTCAATTCCAACCATTAAGGTACCTGTAGAGAGACTTCCAAGAAACAAAGTTTGAAGACTACTCATATAAAATCTAATACCCAGGGGCACCTGGGTGGCTCAGATGGTTAAGCATCTGCCTTTGGCTCAGGTCATGATCTCAGGGTCCTAGGACTGAGCCCCACATCCGACCTCCCTGCTCAGCTGGGAGCCTGCTGCTTCTCTCCCCTTACTCCTGCTCTCTCTCACTCTCTCTCTCAAACAAATACATAAAATCTTTAAACAAAAAATCTAATACCCAAATACCCTAATATTCAAGCTCTTTATCTTTTCATACTACATTTGGAACAAAGCTGATAATCAAATGTTAGTTTCCTTCCCTCTTCAATGCATTTCACATCCTCCCACCCCACTCAAATACATCTACCTAAGGAGACAATAAAGAAACTTTGCAAATGGAAAAAGTGACTAAGGAAAGACAGTCCTTAATAATGATCCTACTCAAGCAGAGTGAAAGAACTGACAGGTATACATACTACGGGGACAGTAATCCTCATCAGGAGAGTCTGCACGGTCTTTGCGGTGATTGAATCGATAGTCGATGCTGTCATGTACCCAGCCTTTTTCAATGAACAATCCTGGAACTTCATCTGAGAAGAGCCAGTACCTATAAATCACAACCATATATTAATAAAATAATGACAAGATCATGAGCATGGGATGATTTTATTATTGGGGGGGATGATTACAGAATATCACTGAACATTCAGACCGATACAAATGATAAAGTAAGGCCCAGGATACCAACATTTTTGAAATTTGAGATTCGCTTCATATTTGTAATTTTTATAACTTCTAATATTTCTCTACTTGAGGTTCCACACAATGTACACATGTAAAATACATTACCATTTCTAATGACCTCTATTTGGATTACATTTCACCTATCATAATATAGGCTTCATATCTGTGGTATCTTCAAGAACAGGGTTGTGTCTTACTTAACTTTGTAACTCTAGCATGTAGCACAGAAAACATTCAATAAATGTGTGATGAGCAATGGTTTCCAAAATCCATACACAGAAGAGCTTGTCTATTCTAAGTACTTTAGAGAGTTTCATAACTAGGAACAATGCAATAACCCTAAAAGATGACAAAAATTAAGTCTAATAACGTACCTGTTATGGTTTCGATCTGTACCAATAGGAGTCCTACGCATGACTAGCTTGGCCTTGGCAATTCCTTCCTGGAAAGCCTTCTCAGCAGCTGCTTTGTGCTTTCGTATTCGTTCTTCTTCAGCTTCACGTTCTAGTTTCACTGGTAAAGATCCAAAGAATCAACTAGATTTTATTTTTTCTAATAAATTCTATTCTTACACGTTAAATAAAATATGGAATAGAAAGTATAAAAGAGACTTCCATCAAATCTTAGTTTCTTCTCCTAATTCTGATCTGTTCTAAGAAATGACATGCAGTAAGGCAGCAATTTCTCTCTTTTTTTTACGGATTTGAGAGAGAGAGCATGAGCTGGAGGGAGAAGGGGGGAGAAAGAGAATCTGAAGCAGAGTCTGTGCTCAGCGCAGAGCCCAATGCGGGGCTCAATCTCATGACCATGAAATCCTAACCTGAGGATCACGACCTGAGCCAAAACCAAGAGCCAGCTGCTCAACCGAGCCACCCAGGGGCCCCTGTAAGGCAGCAATTTCTATCTGGTTCTCCTATGTCCTTTGAATTCTGGTCATGCCGCAGCTATCAACTCAATGAAAATTCTTTTCTCTCCAAAATTTAAGTTATTAATTTTAATAATTAAATTATATTAGTTTTATTAATAGTTTAAAATGGAACAATAAAACAGTCCTTAAGGGAAACCTGGGTGGTTCAGTCAGTTGAGCATCTGCCTTTGGCTCAGGTCATGATCCCGGGGTCCTGGGACTGGCCTGTGTCAGACTCCCTGCTCAGCAAGGAGCCTGCTTCTCCCTTTCCCCCCCAACTACCCCGCTAGTGCTCTCGCTCTGCTCTCAAATAAAGTCTTTTAAAAACAATAAAATAAAAAAATAGTTCTTAAATGGAATTAATTGATCCTCAAAATGATCAGAATGAATAAAACCAGGATAGTATTTCAAAATAAAACCTATTTCAGTCCTGAGGAATTTGATTGTAATTCAGCCTTGGTGACAAGAAAAAAGACCTGAGAGGGCAAAGGCAGGCAAGCACTTGTGCATAAAAGCAATCACTGCATACTGAATACCATTTGGGGAGTTATTCAGCAAGTTACTACTGTTAATGATGAAAAAAAGTTTGGGGGCGCCTGGGTGGCTCCGTCGGTTAAGCATCCGACTCTTGGTTTCAGCTCAGTTCATGATCCCAGGGTCGTGGGATGGAGCCCTGTGTTGATTCCCTGTGCTTGAGATTCTCTGTCTCCCTCTCCCTGCCCATGCTTGTGCGATCTAAAATAAATAAAATCTTAAAAAAAAAAAAGTTTTAATCAACTTACTTCTGATCATTCATTATATAGGGTGTATTTCATCCAGACAGAAATTTCTCTCAACAAGAACAGCCCAGTAATCTTGCCTTTTAACTTTTTCTATAACTGTAACAAATTTTAAAACACAGCACTACTATTTACAATGCCAGAATGTGTAACACTGATCTGATGAGAATATCTACATTATGGTGAGAATCTGGAAAATACAGCAGTCTAAATATGCTACTTTAAAAAATTAAGACAAATCTCATTTATTTAAAACCAACATGATACTCGCTACCTTTAACAAAGTTCGCTCTCCTGAATGGAACTGTATGTTTGCAACAGTGATTACAGCAGAAATCAGTACAAAGCTAAACAACACAAACAGTAATGGCCAAATCACAATCAAGGAAAAGTTCTTTCTCTTATGGCCACAAACAAAAAAACCACCTAGGGCCAGTCATCAAAAGAAGACCAAACTTGGCTCCGGAGGTTACAGCACTGAACTACATACTGAACAACCTGAACTAACCTTGGCAAAATATTAACATTCTTTCTCCCTTATTTCTCTGTAAGAGTATCAACATTGCCTTTCCTTTGTCCTATGTTAAGATAAATATAATACACAGAGGAACACTTCAGAAACTCAAGAAGTCATTACATTTCAGGTAAAACACAGCTGCAGTGTGATATATACACAAAGTTAATCTACATGCTATTTTACTTGGAATGCAATATATGGTCTTTAAAACTGAAAAGTGTGTATATGTATCTATGTGAAGACATTTCAATGGCCTTAGGTAGTATAAACTAGAATCTGTTTTAAAAGAAATTATTATATATTCATGAAAGAACTACTAAAGTTATTTCTAGGTATCTAGGATCCAACTTTGACAAATAAATGGTTTTTACCATCTTCACTTTATAAGCTGGAAATGTTGATATGGTTGGAAACTATAGCAGTGACCAAAATAGTTTAAAGACCAAAAACCCCAATAAACTTAGCAAGTTTACGGTGGGTTGAACAGCGACTCTGAAACTAAGTTTGTGTACATTGTAAGACTCATCAAATAAGTAAATACTGGTATTGGTGGGTGCTAGGGTTCTCATGATTCATGAAAGGAGATACAAATATAGAATGAGGGACAGCAAAGCAGAACCCTTGAGTGGTATTCAAGCATAAAAGGAAATGAGGTACTGGACACATGCTACAACATGAATGAACCCTGAAAACATTATGCTTAGTGAAAGAAGCCAGACACAAAAGACCACGCATTTATTATATGATTCCATTTATATGATATGTCAGAACAAGCAAATCTGGATAGCTAAAGAATATAGAGGGTTTGTTTTTGAGATGTATTCTAAAATCGTGATGAAAGTTGCACATTATCTGTGAGTATATTAAAAACAATGAGTTATGTTATAGACAGACAAGTTGTATGGTATGTGAACTATTTAATAAAGCTGTTTAAAAAATGTTCAGAGGGGTGCCTGGGTGGCTCAGTTGTTAAGCATCTGCCTTCAGCTCAAGTCATGATCCCGGGGTCCTGGGATCAAGCCCCGCATCGGGATGCTTGCTCAGTGGGGAGCCTACTTCTCCCTCTCCC